ATTTTATTTTGTCATGTTTAGAGATAAGCCTAAGAGTTGGGTTTCAAATACAAAGAACATCGATACAACACAACACTAGACATGTCTTCACCTTACTATGGTAGGATTTCCAAACACAATAAACATGGCAAATGTACTAAACATACCTTCACAATATGGTATTAGGTGATTCCATTCTCCAGACTCCAAACATGTGATTTTGGTCACTCCCATCAGTTGGTATCCATCCTCACATGAAAATGTGACCTCGGCCCCCACCGTATAAATCTCTCCGGAAGAGTGGCCATTTTCTGGATTTCCTGGGGCCTTACATTTTACAGGTTCTTGAAACAAAGAAACAGTTTTGGTAGAATAATAAGTGGCTTTCACACAACCATGCAAAGTCTCACAGCAAAAGAATTTCACTACACTTAAAGTATCCATTAAAATCCTGAGCAAAAAGCTATTGAAGGCCAGGGACATTTTGGACATTAGAATAGAATATATAATAGGCATTTTTAAACAATATTTTGAAATGGCAATGTCTAATAAAAATATATAAAATTTATCTGGCTGAAAGGTTGTTGTTCATTGGGGAACGACTCGTGATGCCCTAGCGTGGCTTAGAAGGGCTTTAGCCCCTCTCATTCACCCTCAAACTCATACTCATTTTTTAAGAGCAATTGACTTGGTCTCAAGCTGGCGTAAAGGCTGTACAAAGCAGATTCCAGGGTAGTTCCCAGCCTCCCTTTCCAAACAGACTGTGGGCCCCTCCTGTGGACAAATTCAGGGTCAGTTGCCACTGCCAGGAAGGTAAAAACGTTAAAGCAAGATTTGGTGCTAATGTTGAGCAACAAGAGTGAATACAACGCTTGAATTCTTAAAAGGGGAGGATATATTTACTGGTTCAATCTTTCTAAAGGTCATCAGAGCTATATAAGTCAAGGAGTTTAAATGAAACCTTCTAAAAAAGTAAATGCAATTATAAGACATACAGTTAGAGGAACATACCATTATAGAAGAAATAAGTTCTCGTGTTTCATAGCATAGTAGGTGACTATAGTTAACAATAATTTATTGTATATTTGAAAATAGCTAGAAGAGAAGATTTGAAATGTTTCCAACACAAATAAATGATAAACGTTTGAGGTGATGGATAGCCTAATTATCCTGATTTGATCATTACACGTTGTATGCATGTGTCAAAATATCACATATAGTCAATAAATACTTATAATTATTGTATATCAATAATAAACCATGTTCTCAAACTATTTCATGACATAGAAAATTTGCATGATGTAATATTACATGAAACAGCTAAAATAACTGCTTATATCATGTGTTTACATGTACATCTATATATGTGTATACATATAATATTTATAAGTACATAGATAGCACACAGAAAAATATTGCAGGTATATACCTCTGGTTTCCAACAGTAGGTATTTCTGGGTGGTGGGATTACAGATGATTTCAACTTTTTCTTCTGCTTTAATAATTTGAATATTTCCTCAAGGAATTTGTATGGCTTTATAATTAAGAGTCTTTGAAGACATTATTTAAATTGAATTTTATTTGACTGTGCACATATAGATTAAAACTATGCTTTTTGAATTCATCATAAACTCTTACCATTCCCACATGTACATCTCTGCTAATGTAAATACATAATTTATCTTATATTTCAATAATAAATTACAACATGTGCATACAATTTGAACCCAAATTTAGAATATCTATTTAGGCCAAACCTATGGTGAACTGCAAAGCTCACTCACTATCTGATGTGTTTGCTTTTCTTTCACTAGTGTTGGCCTTTCTTTCTGCCCTGTTTTAATCTTAGCATCTTTTCTCCCTCGGGCTTTGCTTCTTAAAAATTTTTTAATAAAAGTATGCCTCTTTGTCTCCTATGACATACAAGCAGTCTTCTGAAATTTTCTTTTGATTCCTGTATTAAGTCATTTTCAGTGCCATATTCTGAGTCTTCAGGATTATCTTTCCTCTCTTTGAGCAGAAATAATTTTGAAATGTTTTTAATTTTATCTAATTTTACTCATCCTTTAAAGAGAAGAAATGCATCTAAATCAGATATTTCCCTAGGCAAGTCTTGTGACTTGTTTTTGAATAGTACACAATATTTCGGTTTGAGACCAGGATGATGTATGCATAAACATTCGATATACTCTGTTTAACTTCAGACATTTCCTGTTCCAATTTCTATTGTCTGATTCACTGACACGTCACTTTTGTTGTTACTGTTGTTTTTATTCTCTCCCTTTGAGTGTGTGTGTTATAGTGGGAAACATGATCTCTAGATCACGTATAACTCCTAAGACTTTTCTCTCTGTCCCGAATTGCAGCATTTTACTTTGGGGACCAACAGCCAGATGATTTGGTTCACTATTTTAAATTCTCCTTTACTTTCTATCTTAATGTTTTCTGGTAGTTACTCCTCATAATAAATGTAGAAAGACATCAATGGGTTGAAAAATGAGCCAGTATTTCCCAAGTTATTACAAAATATAGAGATGTGGTAAGACAAGATATCTATGTTTTCAATGATACGATTTTATGTGAACAAGGCAGAGAAAAGATATTGCTAGTAAAGCTATGATAAAGCACATTCTTCGCTCTGAGGCAGAAAGGCCACTGATTATATTTCTAAATCTACTCCATTATTCTCGTACTATGTAAACATTTTTTCAACATTCTGGCAGTATAGTTAGCTCTCGGTTTTGTTTTCCAGCAATTAGGAAGTTGGGAGAGGCACAATGCTATTTTAAAGCACCTTTAGTTGTTACTTATGTGTCTTTTATAAGGTATTTTATCTTGTCCACCTAGCTGCGTGCCCTTTGAAGTTGAAACTATTGTCTTATTTTAAAATAACACACTTAAAACATATATTTGAACAAAGACATTGAAATAGGAATTTCCAGTTATACATATATTAGTTACCTGCACAGTTTTTACCATCTCCTGTGTATGGTGGGATACACGAGCATATGTAGGATCCATTTGTATTCAGGCAAGATGCATGCTCGCTGCAGTCTGATCCAACTGCACACTCGTCCACATCTAAAATGAGGACAGCTTACAAATATTAAAGTGGATTCATTTTTCTTATGTATCAAACACTTGCTTTTACTTTTAAATCATTACATACCACAATGCATAACACATGTTTT